TCTCGTCTTGCACTCCCTTCCCTTCACTGTTGTGAGCCGCCCTGAGTCCCCTCAGGGAAAAGGGCGGCATATAAATTCCCAATAAAATCCTAAAATCCTAAAAAAATATGAGCTTTGGTTGTCCATATTCATGTTGTCCATGAGGACCAGAATATGTCTGCCACTGACAGAATGGCAAAATTGTTTGAGAACCAGATGGACCGTCCTGAGTTCCAACCAGTTTATGTTGTGAGCTAGTTCCACCTGGCTCCATTGTCCCTGTGTCATCTGTGCCTGTACATAGGCACCCCATCCAAATAGACTGGCATCCGTAGTGACCGTCACTTGGTCTGGAGTCCTGAAGTATTCCCCCTTGGTGATAGCTGGGAACCTCCACCATATTAAGGATCAGGATACTTCTGCTGGTAGAAGGACCTTGATCTGGGAGCAGCTCATGAGCCTTCACTGAAATGGTAAAAGAAACAATTGAAGGTCTCTGGTGAGAGGTGCTCCCAAGGGACAATGCCAATGGCTGACACCATGGTGCCTAACAACCTGGACAATGTAGTTAGGGACACCCTTCACTCCCTGATGATCTGGGAAGCCAACTCCCTGAGATTTTGCTGTCTCTCAGGCAACGGAAAGACTGTGCCTGACACTGTGTCCATCAAGGCCCCTATATGAATTAACCTTGTGGTAGGATGGAGATGGCTTTTGGACAGATTAACGGAGAATCCATGATCTCTCACGGTCGACATGGTAATGTCTAGCTCTCTTAGGGCTCCATTAACAGAAGATGATTGCAATAAGAAGTCATCTAAATAACATTGGAGTCATACAGGTACTTGTCTCAGGTATGCTGCCAATGCTGCCATCATCTTGGTGAAAACTCGAGGTGCAAATGACAACCCGAAGGGTAAGGCCCAGTACTGGAAATGGTGCCCTAATAGAACCTGAGATACTGGCCTCTGTAAGGTCTATGGAGGTGAGGAAGTTCCCCTGCCTTATACCTTCTAGGATGGAATGCAGCAAGTGCATTTTGAACCTCTGATAATGCACAAAGCGGTTCAGATGCTTCAGCTCAAGAATAGCTCTTCAGCCGCCCAAGGCTTTTGGGATCACAAAAAGAATGGAATAATAACCCTGACCCTGTTGTTCTGGAGGCACCATCTTGATAACCCTAATGTCCAATAGGTGTTGAATGGCCTCCTATATAAGTTGCCTCCCAGTTGAGTTATTTCAGACCAGAGAGATCCGGAAAGAATTCAGGGGGCTGGACAGAAATTTGATGGATCTAATGGTGGACTGAACCCACACATCAGAGGAAGATAAGTCCCAACAATCAGCGAAATATGACAGGCATCCCCTGATGGGGGGAGAGCTGAGCCTATGCCTAGTTTCTGCGGTAAGAGTGCCCACCTCCTTCTCCTCCTCTCGAAAGTGATGCTTTTGCTGCCTGCCCCTCTGCTATCGATCTAGCTGTTATTTTTTTCTGGGGGTATAGCTCCCCTGGTACTGCCTGAAACCTGAATACCCAAAATCAGACCTCTTAAAGGAAGACCCATAATCCTGACTCCGGAAGGAGGAGCCATAGTCTTGACCACAGAAGGTAGAACATCGGGGATAAGGCGCAGGCTGGAAATTGTCCTTTCTTGGAGCAATGGGAAGCATCTTCCGCTTGTCCTTATTTTTGATCAAGAACGGGTCAAGAGCAGAACCAAACAGTGAGCCCCCCGTAAAAGGTGCTGACGCCAGACGCCACTTATGGCATATATCTGCTTGCCACTGCCATAGCCAGAGCAACCTGTGAGATGGTACAGAAGAGGCAAGTGTCCTAGAGGCTTACCTGGCTGCAGTCAAGGTGGCATTTGATGAGAATTGGATGGCTGCCACCAACTTATTGATGTCCTGGTGGAACCTGACATCTGCAATCGAGGTTCACTGCTGGAGTCCTGCAACCAAAGCAAAGAAGACCAGTTAAAGAAGGAGGCGGTCATGGACACTCTCACTGCCCAGGCCACTGCCTGATGACCCCTTTGCAGGGTGAGGTCAGCCTTCCTGTCCTCCAGTTTCAAGGCATCCTTTGGTGCTCCAGGCATATTTGCAGGGGTATGCAAGCCAGTTACAAGTGCATCAATAGTAAGTTGCATCAGCACCTGGGCCATGTCCATGTCCACATTGAAGAATGTTTTATCATTTGAAGTGGGCAACTTTGGAGTGAATCCAGGAAGAGAGGGGGAGAGAGAGGCAGAAGGAGTGTGTATTCACAGGAGGGGGATTATGGAGGATGCCGGAGCTCCAAGGTATTAAACCATCTTTCCAGGAAACCCACCACTGCTTGGGATGTTATTGAATCCTGCAACTGTGGCTTATTTAAAAAACACAGCTTTTTTCAATGACTAAATCCAGGGAGTCCGCCCCAATGGAGGCCCTGAAAAGGATTGGAGAAAAAGCTGGGCAGCAGACAAGGAAAAGGAGCAGATCTCCTGTTGACTTGGCTTTTCAACCTTTCTTGAAGCAATCTAAGATTGAAGACTTTGTTTTGGCTTGGTCTTCTGGTCAGGGAGCTTCTGAGGGCATCACCCCCCGAGCTGAGAATGAAGACTTGCCTGAAACTGCGGCCCTTAACCACCCCTTGCATGATCCTACCCTTGTAGAACTTTGGCTCAGCAATGTTTTCTGGTTGCAGAAACTACAGCGAGCATTCAGCCCCAGCTTGATAGAATAGTAAGTACTTTAAACTACTTAGTTCTCTCTCTCGAGTGGGTATTCTGGGATGATTGCTCGGCAGTTGGTGGCGGTGACAGGGTGTTCCCTGCCAAACCCCAGGAAAAGCTTTAATAAAAGCACTGGCCAACAAAATCCTGGTCAATGAAATTCTACCAACAGACTGAATTCCGCATCCTATGACGCGAATAGCCGCCTGGTCTTACAGCCAAAACAGGTGGCCCTCATCATTAATCCCATTAATGGCAATTTATCTTACTGGAGTTCAACACAGCTGGCAAGGGGTCATCTATTAAAGTTATTAGGGCTAAAAGCTGATGATTTGAAGAAGGTTGAACCTTTACCCTCCCCTGAATACTGTATCAGAGTGCTACTTAGTTTCGCTAATTCTAACATTCCAAAACTACTGTTCAGAAGAGGATCCTGGTTAAGATCCTTTGGCATTTTGCCAAGAAGAGTCTTCAAAGATATATNGACAAAGGGGAGGAGTCATTATCAGCTTAATCCTATTTGCATGGCCTAAAAGTTTTCAGATGCTGCTTTGCTTCTAATGGTTTCCATCCTGCTTGATTAAAGTTCCTTTTGAAATAATCCGTTTCAAGAGTCTTTATTTTCTCAAGTTAGGAGAGGAGCCATTACAGTATCACTTTTATGGATCTGATACCAGAAACATGTAACAAAGATTGGAAATATTTGGTTGTAAATGTTTTACTAGCAGCTAGAATTGTATTTACAAAAAGTTGAAAAAATGAGAAAATACCAATGCAGGAGGAAGTTATTCAAAAAATAATGGAATGCTGAAATGAGTAAATTGGCATTTGAAATTAGAGAACAAGGAGATGTACAATTTTATAAGGTATGGGATTTGTTTTATCAATGGCTAGATAAAAAAACATGGAAATGAAAAATGGAGAAGTTTTACATATTGTAAGAATAATAAAATAAGATAGGTGATACTATAAAGATAAATTATTATTAAAGAGACTAATAATGATGTAATAGAATATTGGCATATACATGAATTGAATATCTAGAACATTTTGTTTAAAATGAAGGAGTAACAATTATAGTTGAATATATGATGTATAATGATAAAAATGTACCTATGCATACTTGATGGATAATTTATGATTCTATATATAATTGAAAGTAGTGATGAATAAATATAAAATATTGGAGAATTCTTTCATATTGCAAAAATAACATAATGAGATAGGTGATTCTATAAAGACATATTAAATAGATAAATAAGAATGCAATGGAATATTGATATATATGTGAATCTAGTTTCTAGAATATTTGCTTAAAATGAAAGAATATCAATTATAACTGAACAATATGATATACAATATCAATCATGTATCTATGTATGTATCTATGTATGCTTGATGGATAATCAGTGAGCCTATGCACAATTGAAAGTGGTGATGCACAAATGTTTGTAACCTAACGACATGCTATATGTAATTGATGAGAGTTTTATGTTACATGTACTGTTTGTTTTTGTTTGTTTAAAAATAAAAAACTTTAAATAAAAAAATACACCTCTAGTCTCTGTTGGCAGTAGCACTGGCAGATGTCTTTCAAAACATCCACATCCTTTCCTAAATTTACATTCCTTACAATTGAATTACCAACCAGAAGGTGGCTTCTCTTTTTGGATACCTTGCTTTTCTTGTGTGACTGATGTGTAATACCTGCCCAGGTTCACCTGGTGCACCAATTGCGACCCTACCTGGATTGGGAGGCCCTTCAGACAGTCACTCACCCCCTTGTGACCTCAAG